CTTGTTGGTTGTGGCCTAGTATGAATTCTCACATGTTCCTGGTTGATATGTAGGTTTGTGACTGCATTTTTTTCATGCTAGGAATATCTTACAACATCCAGCTAACAATTTTACGGTTACTATATTACGATACTAACATGGCTGTTTGCTGTTCAAATTAACAGTGCATATTTAGCTGCAACATTGTGTAAAACATCATCTTCTGTCTTGTGTTTGCTGGGCATCTATATCAAATTTTGTACATTGGTTACTTTTTTGTTGTACAGTACTAGCATATACCCGTGCTCCTCATGGTGTTGAATGAGTGTTGAAAAGTGGCGATGTATGTAGTTGAACTTGGGAGGAATTGGTGGATCTGAGGGGTCAAGGGGTCCTGCAAAAAAAAATTCATAACAAAAAAATTTTTTTTTTTTTTGACAATGAGAAAATTAGAAGTCAGGAAAGCTAATTTCCCACCATCTAGTAATAAAAATTGTCCTAGGGGAGGACCCCGACCCCCCTTTCTTTTTGTTTTCATCGTTTCATGGAAAAAAGAATGTGTATACAACTACTCAATTTTTTTCTGTGTAAAATAGGCCTATTTACTGCAATAAGAATGAAAAAGGTTACATGACGTTTTCAAGAGGGGAAAAACCTTGAATTTTGAAGAACTTAAAAGTCATTAAAAGACCCCTCAGAAGTCGGGAAAGCTCACTTCCCACCACCTTTTCCCGTATGTATGTATGCATCGCAGTTAATATATCTTCTATGTAATAACCTGCGTTGGCACAGTTATGAGATTTTGAAGTAATCAGCAAGAAAATTTGTTTATTTTGCCAAAAAAAAAAAACATGTACCGGATGTTATAGTAATGATCAATTGTACTTGAAATACTTTTGGAGATATTTGGTAGACAGAAAAAAACAAAATGTTATTTTAGTAGTATAGATTTGTGAATTAGTTATTAGTCATTTGTAATGGAGAATACCCGTTATTATGTCATTCTGGTTTTCAAGTAATTTTTGTGTGTTATTGTCAAAGGATGTCAGTTTTGTCAGACAGTCTCATCACATCAATGATTTCTTTTTTTATTTTGCTGTAGGACATTTCAGCATAGCCTTCCACAATTTAAACTGGATTATCTGATTAATTATGAATTAGAAGGTGTCTAACTTTTAATGATTTATCTTTGGCAGGGACTTAAGCCCTTTCCAGGATATTGCTGGAAGGGAGGACATATCACTTTACCTTTGTGAGACCATGGAGGAATAAGTTTAATATTCCTCCATGGGGAGACTAATTTAATATCTAGTTGGTTATTACTATGATAATCTGTGAAAGATTGAACCACATTGGATAACTACCAGTTGTTTGGTAATATCTTGTGTCATAAATTCAAGGTTATCAACCCAATATGATTTTCTGTCCAAGGAAAGTAGATAATTATTTCCTGAGTGTGAAAGTTGTTCATTAAATGAGCATGGAAAAAACAAATTTCAGTATATGAAAAAGAAAAAAAAAATGTGTTTTTTATATAAAAATAATAATTATTATTATTTTTTTTATAAAAGTTAAGTTTGCCCTGTTGATGTTTTTTCCTCTTGTAATTTTTCACTCTGTTACTTGATATTCCATTAATCTGATTACTAATTTATATACAATTATTAAACTAAAAATGGTATAACAAAATGTCACGTCTCATTGTTTTTTAGATCAAATGTATAGTCAGCTTATAATATGGATGCTCTCATGACTAAACTAATAATTAATTTTGACAAAGGTAATCTCAATTTGTAATTGAAATTTTGAAAAGTTAATTCCATTACTTCTGGTTTTACTTGCAGAACTCTTCGGAGATTTAACAAAGGATTTGATAGGAAGTTGTTTTGAAGAGTGTCAATTATTTGTAAAAATCTCAACGTTGTATTTTAAGGAGCAGGTGAAGAAAATGTTGTATCATCTCTGAAGTAATTATTAGAAATTCAATGTGTTAGATAAATTGTAGGTGTCTTAGAATGGGGTCTTTGTGACTGATACCTATAGTATTGATTAAAGATGGAAGCATGATGGTTTTAGACAATGACATAGGACTTTGGTTTGGTGTAATGCTTCATCATGTAGGTCAAGTAGAATAAACAAAATCCTGTAAATGTCCACATCTTGTAAGATGACTTGACAGTATGGGCTCTTGATTGATATTTGATAATTATGCTGTTATCTATTTTTAGACTAATGTAGTTTTTTTTTATTTGATAAACAATCTTAAATCAAGATATATCTGAAAGCCTGCGGTGACATCTAAAAACAAAAGATCAACCTGTTAAGATTTTTTTTTTAAATCAAGGTGTCGGAGAACTTACCGAGGTCCATTGATAATTAAATATTACTTTAAATGCCTTCCTGTACGATAGGTAGATCCAGAGAGTGTTTGAAGTTTAGATCTTGAGAAAATCAGCTTCAAATTTAAATTAACCTGTACAAATATTAAGAGGAGACATTCAGATACGCATGGAAAATTCTTTTATATTAACAAAATTATAATAAACATAAAATTATTCAAAAACATGAAAATTATAGTTTGGTAAAAGGTTTGTCTTTTTTAATTATTTGTATGATTATTTCTCCAAAGATGTGTCTCATTTCATTGCGAGACCTCTGAAAAATTATAGCCCAACTTTATGCTGTTTACACCATAAACGAATAGGTCTATATTAAGTGCGCCTTTAATTAGTTGTTATTACCCTATGGTCTTTGTTGTTACGGAAATGACATAGTCATGTTGTGGATTGCCACCATGTAGTCTATGAAGATGCGCCACTTGCTGCAGTTCCTCTGGCACCAGTAGAATTAAAAGACCGGCTCCAATCAAGGAAATGAAGTATTTTACTTGACTGTTGACCATGACTGTTAATTCATATCATTGCGTTATCTGGCACATGAACTTATTCACAGAGCAAGTCGAGGAAATGTTTAATCAGTGGTGTATACAGTGTATAAGGAATTCGCATTGGCTTCTGACAGCTTTAATTTATTTCTTTAATTGCAAAAAGTGCATTATATTCAGTAGCAGATACTGAATTGTATGACTGTTAGGTTTCAATTGTAGAATTTAGATTTGTATTAATGATATGATGACTATATCTCAGATTGGGATCAGTCATGGACTATTTCATTTCCTTGAATTTTTCACCCTATTATCACAGTGATTTTTTTCATGATTTTCAATGGTTTCCTTAACCTGCCTTTGCATCCATTCATAAAAATTACATTGATAAATTTACTTTTTTTTTTAATTAATAAAGAATGACTTGCTTGGATACACATCTATAAATGGTTGAATTTTTGAAAAATTATTTCTTTTTATGTTAAATTAAAAGCAGATGAAATTACTTGAACAATTGCATCCTAATTGGATTGGAAGAACAACACAGATTTGGAAACAGAAATTTAGCTTTTAAATTTTTAATTTTTAAAGTACTGTATTTAATTCTGTTTCATTGTTATTCACTGGTTTTTCATTTTGCTTTTGTTTGTGTGCTGTTGAGTGTGTGTTTTTTGGTATGTTATTTCGGTTTTTTGTATGACATTTTTTTTTTCTTATTCAATTTATCGCTGTTGTTGGCATTTATCATTTTATTAGGCCCTATAAAAATATTATTAGTTTATCACCCTATCTGGGCAGGAAAAGTGATGAGGGAGGGAGGTTTTTTTTTTAAATTTTTAATTTTGCTAAAGCCAAATATCACCCTTGGGTTGTTTGCTGGTGCATTGATATTCAAAGTAAAACATGATTTAGATAAAGCAAACAGTAGCTACTAACTATTTAATAAAATAAATGAAAAAAATTAATAAATAAAATAATTAAAAAAAAAAATTAAAAAATAAAAAAATTTAAAAAAAAAAAATCCAAAAAAAAAAATTTTTTTTCAAAAAAAATTTTTTTCAACATTTTTTTTTTCAGTACCATAAAAGACATGTGCGCGAGGGTGATAAACTAATAATTTTTTTTATTGGGCCTTATATTGGGTTTTTTTTTCTTACTTTGGACACCTTGATTTACAAGCTCTTTTAATTTGTTGTTGTTGTCACTTTCATCATTGTATTTTATATTTACGTCTTTTTTGTCTATTTTATTGTTGATTGTAATTGATGAATAATTGAAATGAAAATATGAATATAAGCTAATTAATTCATTGTAAATAATACTGATTTGATATCAAGCAAGGTAAAATTAATTAAAGTAAACAATTTTTAATTAGTTAAAGATACACATTTAAATACAGAAAGCATACTTTGACATTACCCTTTGGGTGAAGACATTTGATAAAAGAACCAGTGTTCTATGAAGTTTCTTTGCTTAGAATTAAGGTAAACTAATAAAAGGTGTATTCAGTTCCTTGTTTATTGAAAGAATGTATCATGATCGGCTAGCCTACTACCGAAACCTTTCTATTGTTACCCGATACTGCTCTTCTCTGCCTACGTCAACGGCACCCCTCTGTTACCATCTACAGGTACATTTAATTGGTGCATAGCATTCTTAGGAATCACTGAGAAATATCAGCAACTGATTGAAACTACTGGGAGATCACATGACTGGTTGGTTTCCTTATATGGCAGTCTCAAGTGTCAAATCATAGGAAGTAGGGCTAATATGATTTACAGACTCCGCAGACAAGTTAAAAACTTAATCGCTGCATGAGCGTTGTCAGTGTGGTCGGTGAACCTGACGAAGAAGTAGCGAGTCGTGTGTACAAAAACTTATAAGAGAAAGGATATAGGTCTACTTGTGGAAACACTCTTGATTAGTAGTTATCTTCATATGTGTGATAACAGCACAAATCTGTAGGACTTTTATGTGTATCATTGGCTAATACAGATTTGAAATAAATCATGGATTTATTGACGTTCTCCAAGATGCAGACTGTCCTGAGATTGTTGAGGTTAGCGAAGGAATCTGATGTTTTTGACAATACAAACTTGACATGTAAATATAACCAAACACTTTCTTTACCCACCAGGCCTTTTCAGATCAACAATATGTCTGTAGGTCAGTTGATGTACGTACGAAAATTATCGTTGCTGAGGTTGACAGCATTAATGGAAAGATATTCTGTGTCTTGTCGTAGTGGATGGAGCTGGTGAGTACTACATTATAATTCATTATTTATTATTTTTATATTATATAATTTATCGGTGTTTAAATGCCTATTAACTGTTATTATTATTAATATGTATTCATTTTAACGTATATGTGTCAGCATAGATTGAGTAAGTAGGTCTATTGCAAAGAAGATTATAAGCATTTATGGGATTCTGGAAGACTAATTTTTAGTGTGTTGTATTGTAGTATTTCTCCTCCTGATGAAACAATTCAATGTAGCACCATTGGCTATAACTTATTTGGTTAAAAATACATGTAGTAATCAACAGTTTAAAAGAACATATTTATTTGTTAAGTAATGGTTACTTAACCATTTACTTTTGATATGAGAATTGATAGGCAAGGTGATACAGTAGGATTTGTCATGAGGTAGTTAGATAGTAGTCAGGAAATGTAAGTTTTTAAATTTGTATGAAAAATGTTCCATTCTCTTCCTGGTATTCCTAAGTTATTTATATCCATCAGTGAGTTTTCCTCTACTTAGTTATGTCTATGATTAAGAGTGAAATTCATTGCCTTAGGTACAGTTACAAAGATGATAAAATAGCATACTGGGACATTTGTGCAGGCTGTGCTGTGCGATGGATAATAGTAATAAGCTGGCCAAAGGCAGCTGATCAGATTGTTTGTGTGTGGTAGTGCAATCCGCTATATGCCATCCAGATCAGAATCCTTGTTTGCTGCTTAGAGTTTCATAACACCTTCGCAAATGATATTCAGACGAAACGGATCTGTAAAGTTATACCGCCATTCTGGATTAGCTAGGCTTGAGGGTGTTGTGGTGGTTCACAACGAGAATTAACTCAAAAAGTACCGCATACATGGGCCTTGGGCATTTAATAGATTGTGGGTATCGTATTTATTTTCATTCGGTCAACTACTACCCTGAGAAATCAATAATTTGTGCAAATTATCCCAAGGGGACTGTATCTGTTTCAAATATACCTCGTTAACATTTTGTATGTTTTACTTAGATTGTTAACCTTTAAGTAAGAGCTTCATGTAAGTTACGAGCAGGTTTTCATTACTAAACATTTCTCATGCAAGTGAATAGCTTTAAGCTAATGAGTTATTCTATGGTATTTCTCAGCTATTAATTAATATTTGGAATTTTAATTTTGTTATCTACAATATATATCCTCTTGAATAATACAGAATTAATACATTAAAATAATTTAAAAATTATATATAAAGTTTCATGACAAGATGGATGGGCTGTGATTTGAAATGTCCATGAGTACATAATATTTTCAGAGGGCCTCTTCTAGTCAGCTTTGTTCTGTAAGAGTTACCCTCTATAAATATGATGTAATAAATAAATATGTTTTGAAGTAGTGAGATCCATAACATAATTTTGTATTACATTCTAGAGTTAAACAAAATAAATTTGAGAGCTTCAGAGTGATGGACATAATAGAAAAGGGAAATTTATTTTCAGGCTCATTGTAATGAAAGTCAACTAAGCAATGATTGGTTTCATTTTGAAGTCATTATAAATAAAATTGTGGTACTACAGTTGTTAAATTAAAGAAGCATTTACCGTATAAACACATTCAATGCATAAATCTTTAATTTCACTATTATGATCATCATTTTGAATTATTATAATATTTTTGTTGATTTTTCTTTTTTAATTTTACTTTCATTGTTTTCTTTATTTCCGGTACACGTGTTGTATTTCTATATGAGTGAATAAATGATTTTGAATTTATTTGTTCACTAAATATTACATCTTACAGGATGATGCCACGGTTTATGAAACGGATTAAAACCCCAGATTACAAAGACAAAAAGGTATTTGGTGTACCATTGTCACATTGCCTGCAGAAAACAGGTCAGCCCCTTCCACAAACAATTCTCTATGCAATGCGTTATTTGAGAAGGGTAGCCAAAGATTCAGTTGGGATTTTTAGAAAACCTGGTGTGAGGTCACGAATCCAACAAATCAAGAAATTAAATGAAACAAATATAGGTGAGTATGTATATAACAAAAACATTACATTAAAAGAAATGAACAATTTTTGTGGGTGAGAGCGATAAACTAATAATTTTTTTTATTGGGCCCAAACCATTGTTTAACTGACATGACTTTATATTTACAATAACTATATTAAATTGTTTGAATATTTTAATACATTAATATCATGGTTTTTTAAGTATTTTTTATAGAGTAATTTTTTTAAATGGGGTTTTTGTTGTCATACATTCCATTGAGTTGATTTTTGGTGGTCTGATGTTGATCTTGGTTTCCCTTAGACATATTGGCTAGAGTAGATAATTGCTTCTAATAGATTTGTGGTTTCACCCTGTAAGGCAGTCAAAAAAATCCAGTGCTTTTATAAAAGTACCGAATCTCTCTTATCAAAACAAAGAATCACAGACAGAAATTGTAGTTTCAAAAAAAGGCCACCCGCCAATTTTAATGGCAGAAGCTTGTCCACACTTCCTGATCTCAGTAGTATGTATTTGTTTTGTGATGCTATGATTGCTCAGACATCTTCTGATAGCTGCTCATTCTATGCATTCATGATCAGCTGGTGGTCGACATGAAATTAAGAAAGAGAAACGTACACATTCTGTTGAGATCTTATCATGAAATAACTAAACTTAACAATAACTTAAACATTTACTGTCTGGTTGCCCTGTGGAGATTCCTAAATTGAATCAGTTGATGATTGACACCCATAGGAATCTGACATAATCTTTCAGTATTCGTTTGTCTGATGCCACCTTCCTTATCTTTAAGTGATCTAATTATTTCTTAAATTTCGAATATTTAATCTTTCTACAGTATCATTTTTTTCTGTAAATTTAAAATAATTTTACATATTTTAAAAATCTTTTAAGTCATTTTATCTTCAATGGATTTTAAGAAACAATAAAAAAAATGTGTAATATGGTGTTGCCACTATGTAAACATATTAATTTAAATAATATAGTATTACGATTAAGTATATAATTTAGGCAAAAATTATATTTATTATTAAATGTATTGATAGAAATGGTCATCATTTACCAAGGAGACTTGTTCCAGCAATATCTTGTTGATAATTCTTTCTAAATGTTGCTCATTCCCTGATCATTTTTTCTCTTCTAGATGTAAATTATGAAGGCATGATGGCATATGATGTTGCAGATATGTTAAAGCAGTATTTTCGTGAGTTGCCAGAACCGTTACTGACTTCCAAACTCCATGACACGTTTTTGAGCATCTTCACAGGTAAGTAACACAACATCAATAATAAATATTATCTTATTAAATAGAATCATATATGAAATAAAAATAATATTGTAAAATACATTCTCTTTTCTTTAAAATCTCATGAAATATGACCTGAAAATAGTAGCAGTACAATAACAGCAAGGGGTAATTTTTCATTTACATCCCTCTTTGCAATCATCTTTGCCACCATGTTTAATCAGTATTGATTTATAATTTATCATTCAATAAAGTCTTATTAAAAGAATGTCATGTTAAAAGACAAATTTCACTAAGGTTTATGTATGAAAATTTAACCCTAAATAATAACGAATGAAATTTAGCTGAATGAATTTTTAAACAAAATACAAATCTTATGTTGAATATTTTAAATTTTCATTTCATATTATGTATGACATCATTGAGTATATTGTATTATTCAGCCATGCCCAAAGACCAGCATTTATCTGCCCTCCAAGCGGCAATTATGTTATTACCTGATGAGAACCGAGAAGTCCTACAATCACTGGTGCTTTTCCTCAGCGACATTGCCACGCACTCACTAACCAACCAAGTAAGTTGATCTATGATAATTAGGTAGTTTTCGCTGCACGACGTTAACCTTAACTTTAACGCTAGTACCCAGCATGCAATGTGATAGCTCCACCCCTTTTGTAAACAAATGGAAATATGCATGCGCAAACCCGTAACTAACGTATGTCCAGCACGTAATATCCTGAAAATTAATGTACTCATGAATAAATTATAACGAATGTCATGCGGTGAAAACTACCTATTATGCTAGGAATTAATTAAATATAATCACTGTAATAAATATTCATGTATGAAACTGCTATACATATCTGCAATTGTAAACATGGAATGCCTTTTGTAGACACATAAGCAAACTTTAGTACTGGGAATTGACTGGCAACAACAGACCTGTAACCAGTGAGTATCTCAGGGTTAGGCCGAACCGATCGTCATAATCGACTGAACCAAACCAGGGGGCCTAGGCTCTCCCTGGCCAATATGAAACCCCACTTCTAATGAACTAGGTTATGTGCATGCAGCAATGGTGTCAACCTGATTTCAATTAATTATATATGTACTGTAAAACTTACCTGGTTTACAATATTTAAATCAAGGCAGCTCTATTTTGGCTTTGTTTATGTGTAAATGCGAAATTTAAAAAAAATTTCAATTTGCTAGCCTAGTGTCAATCCCACTCTGGTGTTGTTTTGTGTCAGTTTGAGGCTGGAACCACTCTCATAACACCAAGTTCACACATATGAATTTTTCATTTACAACTTTGATAGATCGTACAGCAGTGTAGATTACCAGCTCATATCACAGGTGTCAGTGAATCAACTGTAACATCAGCTGCTATTACCTTCTATAAACATTCTTTGCTGACCAATTAGAAAGTACTGCATGTCCACTTTAATGTTTGAATTTCTGGATATGACAGTACTAAGCACAGCATAGTTTTTTAATTTCCTGGCATCTGACATCCTGGCGCAGTAACAATTTCCCATTCATTTGCATTTTCATTAAACTTATCTTATCCATAACATTCAATTTCCTTGTATGCTATGCAATATTTTCCTATATTCTCAATTGATTTTAGTTTGCATTACTCCATAATGCGAGGTGTAGGATCAGAAGTGTTGGGTTAGCCTCCAAAGGAGTTTTCTTATTACATTATTTAGTGAAATATTAATTAATATACAAAGAGTTTTTGTATGATTTAATTGATTATTTATTCTCAGATGACTCCTTACAACTTGGCTGTCTGCTTTGCTCCATCCCTATTCCATCTAAGTCCATCTCCAAACCAACAAGTTGGTACAAGTCCACGTCGCACACGAGCAAACTTCTCTCAGAGACCAGAGCAACGTGAACTCTCAAATAATATTGCAGCTAATGAATGTCTAAAGTTAATGATTAAAGAAGTAAAGAAATTGTTTATGGTGAGTATGATGACAATCAGTAGCAGTAGTACACTATCCTATACATTGCATAAATAAATATCATACGAAATATACGAAGAACTTTATTGCAATCTCTCATTAACATTACAGAATAAGTCAAATCAAAATTGAAGTTTAACAAAAGGGGAGAAAAACATTAAAACTACATCACAAACACACCACAAACACATAAAAAGATAGAATAAATCTACTATAAGTCAATTTAATTAGGGAACATTAAGTTAATTCCCTACATCAACTAAATTATTTCAATTAATTTATCTACAGTATCCTAACATTCAGTAAAACCTAACAAATTTTAATTAGAACTGAATTTATATGAATCAAACCATGATATGTAGGTAATGTTTTCACTGATTTGCCAACAAATTACTACAAATTTCCAGGTTATTTTGATTATGCAAAATAATAAAAGAAAGTTATCATTTATGCATCTCCTAATGAGAAAGATATTAAAAGTTAATATGGGAGACATGATAGAAAAACATCTGTGCACTTGGTCTACATAATTAAAAATACGGGCCAAGTCTCTTAATTTCCTCGTTAAATTTAAAAGTTAACTTAAAAACTGGCATACAACTTTTCATATTTAAATATAATCTGGAGGGTTATCTAATTATAAATTTTAATTTCAGAAAGTCTTACAGAAATGGTTTAGTTATGGATTAATAACATTACATGAAAATCAAATTTAAATGTATAATGATTTTATGTTTTTGCTATAAATTTCATTAACAAAATTATTCAAATTGATTTTGGATTTTTTTTTAGGTATAAAACACAAACAAGGATAATTCATGAAAGTGAACTTTTATAACTTAAAAAAAATCTATTTAAATAGTTGTTACTATCTTCTGTTCTTTTGATCATGTTCTAAAAAAATGTATTACATAAAACCTTTGAATATATTTTCTTACACATATAAATGTACATACACACACAGCATAACCAATCAAATCCATGGTCACGTACAACTGCCAATATTTTTATCAATCATTTCCTTTAATGTTGTTGTAATTAATGATAATTAGGTATTTTGTTATCACAATCACACTCACAGAAGACCTTTACAGGCTTGTCATCTAACAATTATGTTTGTTCTTTAGGAAGTCATGTTATGAAGCCAGCACATGTGTCATTCAATTGTAGGATTTATTTAATTAATATTAACCCAATGATATTTGACATTTCTAATATCTAACATTATGTTTCATTTAATAATGTTACATCCACAACTTTAAAAGCTCTATATAGTAGCAAGTTTACATCCTTATTCTACTGAATAATAAGTATACACAAATTATAAGCTACTTGTATAATTTAACTTTTTGAGTTATTTATTGAATTTTTACTTTTAATTTTTATGAGTCACAGCAAGCTTCCTGTCAACTCCTACTTTGAAGGGAAAAGTAGCTGGAACTTGATAATTACTTATAATCATATGCACAAGTACAACTTCTAATTGGCTGAGAGAAATTACCAAATTTAAATAATATCAGTTTTCAATTCTTATTTTTTATTAGAATGGAAATCTGTATCAGAATTTCTGTCCTGTATTTGTGTTTGTTAACATAACTTCATTTGGCTTCAAACTTATTCTTTTTACCGGCTTAATGCTAATTAACTCATTATCAAAATTACTATGTTTATGTTTGTATTAATTTTGACCACATTAATAGCTGATTCAAGTTAATTATGAGAATATAAATTTTATCAAAACTGTACATAAAAATTAATGAAAACACTTATTAAATTATTTTTACAAAGTTATGTACATAATAATTTTAATAATGTTAGTAATATTGTGCATCAAGGACTTTAAGCACTTCATATTATCTAATTTGTATATTATATTTTACTTTTTTCACACAACATTTTGTTCCAAATGACAGCTTTTAAAATTACTACTAGTCATTAACAAGGTTATTATTGGTACTGTATTGGTATTACTGTTAATGTTTTAAGTATTATAAATGTATATTATATATTAGTATACATATATTAGTGAATAAATTCTTCGGTGGAAATATATACTCAGGTCATCAAAATGAAAATTTTAAAAATATTATTAATATTTTAATTATTGTTATATAATTGTACAATGGTGACATTTTGGGTACCTGCTTGTAATCTAAGTTTGCTTCATCCTTTATTGTATTGTGTTTATACTGTTTTTTTTTTTATAGACATATAACATAAAACACGTATAATGTAGTATTTAGGACAGGTTTTTTCACGGGCGTTGAGATTCTGCTTTTCAACTTTCGCTGTTATTGAAAGTTGAAAGTACGGAACTGACTCTGTTCCTCGATGTCATTAAATTATAAACGCTTCCTTCATGTCAGTACAATATTAAGCAGTTGCTATTGGTGTCAACATTTGGATAGCTCCCAAGTGTTTAACTCCCCTACATGTAATATTCTTGTTTATTTATCAGGTCCCTGAAGAAACGATAACTAAATGTCATTTCTCATACATCGACATGGGAGAACCGGTCACCTTGGAGGAACTCGGCCGAAAGAAGTTTGACGAAACGGCTGATTACAACAGCTATTTGGAGAGTTGCATCCAAGGAGTGTTAAAGGAATCAAGGGAGAAATTCAAGGGATGGATTCCGTGCACACCTTTAGAGGGCGTCGACGTTGCATTCAAGAAAGTTGGTGATGAACATCCTCTCCGCCTTTGGAAATGTTCGGTAGAAGTGGAAGCCCCACCATTAGAACTTTTACATAGAATTCTTAATGAGAGGTAAAAAATTATCACAGGACATATCATAAACTGCTTATTACATTATGTACATACTAATAAGAATTTCCTTTTTTGTAAAATATAAAACTATAAATTGAATAGTTTTCAACATAGAATGACATTATAAATATTCTTTACATTTATATACATATTCATGGATGTATATATTTGAATATGTACGTAAATGTATATGTGTATTGGACACACCACATATTCATTTTAAATTTAAATATGAACAATATTTGTGTCAAGCATCTATGACACAGCTAACGCCTACATCATTCCCAATCCAACAATTGATAGAACCCATTTAAACATTGACACAGCTAACACCCACATTAAAATTTTGCAAATGATGATTGTCAAAGTGGCCTAAAATCAGTTCTTGGAAACAACCAATATAATAGAATGTTTAGCTTATGCACAACTACCAATTTTATTTTACATTATGTATGCATATGTATAAGATGTGTTGTAAATATTTCACTGCATATTTTAATTTTTGACAATTCCAATTGCTTATTGTTGAAATCTTAATTTATTTTTTCTTGTAGGTATTTATGGGATGAGGATCTACTAAAATGGAGAGTTGTGGAGAAGTTAAATAAACAAACAGAGGTTTATCAATACGTTGTGAATTCAATGGCTCCGCATCCAACAAGAGATTACTGCATACTCAGGTAGATATGGATTATCATTCACTTTCATTACTGTCAACTTGTAGTATATTAAAAATCTTTAACTTCTACTTAGCTGATATGCATCAAATTGATTACGAAGAAGTGAAATTTCAGGTCCTGTACATTATAGTTATAATCATGACTGTACAGTTTAAAAGATAAGAAAAATGTTAAAAATTTGAAACTTGATTTGTGCCAATTTAACAGTCTATGTATCGGTTCATAACATACGGCAGACATAACTCAGGCAAAACTATTCATGGAAAAGACTACAGTATCTAATATGTTGCATTGGTAAATAAAGAGAGAAAGACAGTTAAAACAAGCAAACAAGGGATGGTGATGGGACTCAAATGGACATGTGATTTAATTTTGTTGTTGCAATGTATTAAAAAATTAAAAAATGTATTTTCCTATCAACTACTTTTCCAATGTATTTAGAAAAGCATATGTCAAAAATTATTAACGTTGGAGGTTATTGCTACAGACAAGATGGCGCATTTGGATTCAAAACACAGAGGCAGCTTATACAAAAGGCCTGACTGTGTCATTCTGGCCAATAAAAAACTAATATTTTAAAAAAATTGGGGAAAATGGCTGAGTTTTTACATCTCTTGCAAGAATACATTTGGCCACCATTGACTGGTAAATTGGCCGGTTGAATTCACTACCTAATTGGTAATCATCAATCAAGAGACCATTGTATATCAGTGAATGAACAAAAAAAATATGAATTCTAAGAAATAATGAGTTTAATAATACTGCTTATTGATAGATTTATAATTACTTTCCTTGCACACAATCGTGAGGGATTCAATTGTTGTCACGCAATTTGCCATTTTTATTATATCTATTAGTCGATATATTTATTAGTCGATTAATTTTTACTATTTACACATAGATACATTTTTTGGGGCCATATGTTTAAGACATTTTTAGAATTGGAATCTTGTAACATGAGTCAACATCCATGCATTACTTATGACCCAAAAAAATAATGATTGCATGTGTGTCAGACAGGGCCAGAATAAAACGAAACTGCTCTTCCAAGGATAGGAAATAATTACTAATAAACAAATAATGTTTTTCATGAGAGATAATGTTAACCTTGCCACCCTGATGTATTCAACAGATCAAACAAATAGCAAGTACTGTACCATAATACAGCCCTAATAGGATTTTTTATGTTCAGAAGAACAAGTTCATAGGAATTTGATTATCAGTTTACTGCTCTAATTGGAATTGGTTAAGTATCGTATATGAGGCATTTTAGAACCGCTGCATCTGTTCTTGGGCTAACAGAATACTCCCGATATTAGCACTGTGTTCGCTTAACTACTTAAGATAAGCTTCTACTAGGGAAATGTCATTTAATACTGCTAGTTTGCCAAGAGGCACTCCCCAGAGTGGTGAGTCAGTTGCTATTGCAATTATTTCAAACATACAACATTAAACAACAATTTACAAAATGGACTTTCTCAAAATTAAATAAATTTTCTATCAAAAATTTACTGTGCACCAAAAAGAAATTTAATCTTCATATAATTCTTTTCCTTTTTGTGTTGTATTGATTTTAGTGAAGTTAAATAATTATTATAACAACATTCTTAGTCATGTTGCAAAAGTCAAGGGCACTGAAATAAAAACGTGAACTTCTTAAACTTGTTTCCTGTATCTTGAAGACACACTGTTGCCTTACTAATTAAACATTAGACGAAGATGCTCCAACAAGTTTATCAGATTCTTATCATGCTAATTATGCCTTAATTTGTCAAACTCAAAATCCCACAGTTTCCTTCATATTTTCCTTCAAATTATCATAGGATTTATGTGGAATTCTTACAGGTTTAAAAAATTTGGCAAGCTCACATTCCACTCTATGTGTCTATTAAACTATAATAGAGCAATCCTTTGTAGGCGTAGTCCAATTACATAAAGAAAATGAAAATTTTATAACATTTTAAAAAATGATTAAATTTGTTTTCATCTTTTAGTATCATGGTGTTGTTTATACTCAGACCAAACTTTTTACACCTTTAAATGTTTATTCTTTCAAAATCTACTTTTTCTAGTGTGGCCGTTCCAAGGCAAAACAACATAACTGCTTTAATATTTTTAAGTTAGTTGTTTTGCCTTGGAAAGGCCCAGAGTCTTCCTTCCGTGTGCTGAGTCTCTTTGTTGTTAAGGTGCTGTACTAAAATGTTTTCAAGAGAACAACATTTGAAAGAGAAATTCTGAAAGTCACCTTTGCAGTGAAGTTCCATTGAATAGTTTTGTGGTTAAGATGCTTCCTTCCAATCCCAGGGTCCTGGGTTTGATTCCTGATACAGCAGGATTTTTCTTTATCATGAGAAAAAAACAACTCTTAATCCTCCTTGCAGCATCTTATTATCTTAAAGGGCATATGATAATAGAGATTTCTTTATATAGATGGTTGCATCACTCATTCAATCAACCATCAATCTTCTTTGGGTTAAACTAAATTAATTTATCATACTAGTGTACTCTGTTAGAGTTGTGATGTTAATATGTAGAGGACAACATTCTATTGCACAGTGCATTTGAAAAAAACAACATAATTTTTTCACAAATTGGTTTCCAATTGGTATTTAAGAAAAGAACTTCAAAAGAGCAAATCACAACTTTCTGATTAACAATATATTACATGTAATTTGCCTAGTAACTAATTCCTTGTTATCAATCAAATATCATTTCCTGTTAATTTCCACTGAAATATTGCCCAATTCCCCTTTCCCTTGAATATTTGCCATTTTGCTTTGTTTGTTTTTGTAAGGACCCTACTGGAATTAATTTACTAGACAGGTTTATGATTTATGTTGGCTTTTGTCTGCTGTTTTGTGTTTTTGCATTATTTCCCCTCAACTGCAGAGCTATGATGATTCAGACATATTAACTTATAATGACTAGTCCTAAGTGGAATTTGATTCAGAATTTTGAAGTGTAGTACAGTATATGAAAGATTACATAGTGTTGATTCACAGAAGGTCTTTCCATTTTGGCAATAGTGATGTGAATGTAGTTAGTTTGATATTTGATAATGACTTACGGGGGATTTAATGGTATAACAATCTATTATTATGCTAAATTTATAACTTACCAGAAACAGCAATGTATGATATGTAAATTTGTAATAATTTTACCGGCAATTAAATATCTGAGATTTAAGGAAGATTATAGTGCATTTTTTACAAGCCAACTATATCAAATACATTATTTCATTCCATCATTTCAGATCATGGAGAATGGATCTTCCAAAAGGTGCTTGTGTCTTGGTATCAACATCAGTAGATCATCCAGATGCACCACTTATTGGTGGAATCCGTGGTACAGTTCTTGCATCAAGATTCCTGATTGATCCATGTGGCTCGGGAAAGTCCAAAATCACATATATGTGCCGTGTAGACACGAAAGGTAGAACTGTAGAATGGTATAATAAATCTTTCGGACACATACTTGCCACTATGGTGTCGCGTATTAGAGATTCATTTAAGCAACCGGCTGATGGACCAGAAACAAAAGTATGAAGAAGAGTACATTTCAGTCTTTCATTATAGCTTTGAGTTTAATGTCAGAAGTTTTTTTTTTAGTGTTATATGAGTTATTGTGTTTTAACTATGACAAAAAGATATTTTATTCAAAAAAATATCCTTCAAAAGCAGTTGTATTCATATAATGCTAATTAAGGATTTTATTTTTATATCTAGATACATATAACAATTATAATCAATAAGAACAAGCATCTAGAAAGATAAAACCGAAAGGTCCACTGATTAAGATAGTATAATACATACTCCAATTATCGGAATGCACGCCATCGTGTCGGGATTTAATATTCCGACATTAATTGTGTCACCATCAGGAATTCCTGATGATGACATAATTAATGTCGAAATATTGAATCCAGACACGATGGCGTGCATTCCGATACTTGGAGTAAGTATTATACTATCTTATCTAGAATGATAATGTTTCTACAATTGGACCATATTCATTTACGTTGTATTTAATGTGAATATATTTTTTCAGTTTTAGTATTAGTAGTATTTATCTATGTTGTTAGACATATTAAACAGGTTTAGAAGTATAAATTAGAAAAAAAATATGTACTGTATAAATGTTTATAGTTGTATATATATTCTATGAAATATAACTAATGTAAAAAAATATTGTATATTTTGTTAATTGGATATATTCCAAAAGTACGTCCAATTAATTACGTTTTTCCAAGCAACTCATTTCCATATACGCCCTCCTTTTCATTTATTTTAATGCTTTGGTGTAGTAGCATCCTCAGATAAGTACTGTATGTGGATGAGAAAAAGTAAATTCATGATTTTTTTTCCTATACCTGATTTCATTATACATATTATGTATAGTTTAATTTTAGGTGCTACTAAAATATACGCAGTGGTGTAATGATTATAGGTTGGTTGAAGTTATATTCATTAATTGTTTAAAAACTCTCTGGCATGTTGATTATTATTTTAGATTGATATATTTTATAACTGGATTTAAGATTAAAACAATCTTGCATAGATGAGGATAAACATATATATGTATATAAATCCTTACACACATACCTGCAGTAAATGTGGATATAGGTATACCTTCTAGTAAGTCAGACAAGACGAATAACAATTAAGAAAAATAAGTTACTCATTAAACAGAACTGAATAGGTCCTTTCAATGAGACGTTGTTCAGTTATTGCTGATTTACATAATTATTTGTATAAAAATTTAGTTGATTTTATTTTCTCTTTCTAGTTTTCAGTTAAATTCTAATAACCTATATAAATATTACTTAAATGTACAAATGTTGAATTGTATCAACAGACGGAATATGTTTATATGATTATGTCAAATATTTTATAATTTTGTTATTCATTATTTAGGAACTTGGGCCAAGGATTGCCAATCACAAACTTATCACACTTCATAAACTCACTATGAGGCTGAGGAAGTGTGCTCAAAATATCTTCTTTTTTTTTTCAAGTTCAGTAAAGCAGAACGGCAAAGCTTGCTCCAAATATAGTTATTTTGATTTTGGGAAAAATATATTATCGTCTTTCATCTGTTATTTGACTGAGTAATAACTACTCTCTTTCGTAATATAGAAACCAACATTTACAAGAAATTTGACGTTATCAAAGTTAACGTTTATTTTTTAAACTTAATATTCATTATATCAAAGTTAAACTTTAGCTCAGATGTATTTTGGGTTGGGTGTATTTTGTGGTGCTTGAATTTGGTTCTTGGTTAAGATTTTAAGGAACTTGTTCGTTTTATTTTTGTAATGAAACATTTTATTATCATGTATTACAAATTTTAGTATCACAGACCATAAATTAGATGGCTATTTGGTTTTATTTGACAAGAGCAATTGGGTATAATCCAATTGGCAGGGTATTTTAAAGAATACAGTAATTTCATTCAAACCTCAGTTATATATTATATTTCAATCAACAAACATTACAAACATATGCTGTAACCATATTGCCTTAAAATGGTTTAAAGTCAGATTGATGTTTAATGGCTGCATTCAGCTTTTTGTTTTTTATTTTAATAGGATTATTATTTCGCAAAGAAGGTTATGATTGGAGCATAATGTGTTTTATTAAAACACAAGTTAACCTATGAATTTAGGCATTTTCTTTGTTTTTGTCTTTTTTATTTGTTTATACTGCTGCCTTTCTTGGGTAATTTGCATCTTTCAGCAATTATCATAAAAACAGAACAGTTTAATTATCTGGGTAATGCAGTCTTTCTACCTCATGTTGTTACTGTTACTGTTAAATGTCTGTTTCTGTCTTTTTGCAGCTATATACAAGCAAATGAAGTTACCTGGCAAAACAAACTTTTTTTAAAAACTTAAATATGTTCTATCTTATTTGCAATATTGTCGTCATCATCATTATTATTATTATGTTAATGGATACTATTTCTAATATTATCATATTCAATTAAATTAAAAACAATCGGTGCAAAATGAAAATTTATTGTTTCGTTTTTCTTAAAATGTGTTCCCTTTAGTCAGTCTAAGACAAACACCAATTAATTTGAAATCTTACCGGTATGTAATCCATATAAAATTTAAGTTCATGCCTCAGGCTATAAGGTATTGCCACCGGCATTTTGATATTCCATCCTGAACTTAATTAATAATATCAGGAATGCAGTTTTTAAACATATGGAGGATAATAATTTTTTCTGTAATGAATACTTAAGTGTTGAACTGCAGGCAGTCCCACAATGTTCCCATGTGGAACAGTACTTGTTCAATCGCATATCATCAAGAGGCACTGCTTTCGATGCAAGCCCAACTGCAAGATTTCTTTGTACGGCGCCTGTGCCTGCAAGTAGGTACCTGGTCGGCTAGCAGTGGCGTCGAGAGGGGGGGGTCAAGGGGTGTCGCTGCCCCGGGGCCCGGATCTACTGGGGCCCCGGGCCAAGATGAAACATTTTCGGGGTAAGAACAAAATCCCAAGCCCAATCCAGGATGAAAATTTTTGTTGTCAGAACAAACTCTACATTATGGTTTTAATGGGTGTCTTTCTCAGTCTTTCTGTATTTTTATTACTAGATGTATGTATATCTGTCTCTTATACACATCTAGATGTGTATAAGAGACAGCGTTATGTCGTACGTAATGCCAAATCAATAAAAAAAAAATGTGAGATTTTTTTTTTCTTGTGCGCGTGCATGATACTACAAGGTCAAGGTCATAAACAAGTTTTACTTTTAATTTGAACTAGAATTTTTAAACTTGGTGGCTTACTGTGTTGTATTTAGTCCCAAATAAACGTATGTTGTGAGATTTTTGTTTATTGCGCTTGTGTATGGTACTACAAGGTCAAGGTCATATACAAGTTTCACAAATACTTGTGATTATAATTTTAAAACTAGGTGGCTTACTGCGTTGTATTTAATCTCAAATAAACGTATGTTGATTTTTTTTTATTGCGCTCGTGTATGGTACTACGAGGTCAAGGTCATATACAAGTTTTACAAATACTTGTGTTTATAATTTTAAAACTCGGTGGCTTATTGCGTTGTATTTGGTCCCACATAAACATGTACAGTATTGTGAGGTTTTTTTTTAAATTGCGCTCGTGTATGGTACTACGAGATCAAGGTAGTACGTCGACAGTACATTTTATGCTACTGCCATTAAACATTAAAATAAACTCCCCCGCCTTATAAAAGACACAGCTAGTAGACATAGCAGTAGCTTTAAGAAATTTGTGAAAGAGCACTTGGCTTATATGAGAGATTAGTCTGATCCGGGGGAGGGGGGGGGGGTGTGGAGAG